AGGGCGCCCCACCCCCTTTTTCACCCTTGCTTTGTACTTAATAGGGGGGGTCTCCCAATTCCCTGGGGCTTTTTTTTTTACATCGGTGCGCGGCCCCAACCCCGGGTTGGCCAATCATCTCTTCACCAGGGGTGGGGCACCATCCCCCCCCCCCCCCCCCACGGGCCCTGCTCTGTGTGTGACAGGGTAGAGCCATAACCTCTCCATCGGCCCTGCCCTGAGTGTGACAGTGGCGGCGCCCCAACCCCCTGATCGGCCCTGCTCTGTGGATGATAGAGGGTGGCGCCCCAACCCCCCTCCACGGGCCTTGCTCTGTGTGTGACAGGGTAGAGCCATAACCTCCCCATTGGCCCTGCCCTGAGTGTGACAGGGTGCAGCGCCTCAACCCCCTGATCCACCCTGCTCTGTGTGTGACAGGGGGTGGTGCCCCCCAACCCCCTGATCGACCCTGCTCTGTGTGTGACAGGGTACGGAGCCCCAACCCCCCTGATGGGCCCTGCTCTGTGCGTGACAGGGGGCAGCGCACCACCCCGATTGGCCCTGCTCTGTGCGTGACAGGGGGTAACCTCGCCATCGACCCTGCCTTGAGTGTGATAGGGGGCGGCGCCCCAACTCCCCAATCGGCCCTGCTCTGAGCCTGACCAGGGGCTGCACCTAGGGATTGGGCCTGCCCTCTGCCACCCGGGAGCAGGCCTAAGCCAGCAGGTTGTTATCTCTGAGGGGTCCCAGACTGCGAGTGGGCACAGGCCGGGCTGGGGGACCCTCCTCCCCCCACCGAGTGCACAAATTTTTGTGGACTGGGCCTCTAGTATATATATAAAAACCTAAGCAACCATATGACTGGACGACTGGCTGGTAGCCATGACGCACACTGACCACCAGGGGGCAGATGCTCAATGCAGGAGCTGTTCCCTGGTGGTCAGTGTGCTCCCATAGCCAACCTCCTGCAGCCGGCCAACCTCCTGCGGTCCCTCCCCCTGGCCAGCCAACCTCCTGTGGTCCTTCCCGCTGGCTGGCCGGCCCCAATTGACCCCAATTGCCGGCCAGGCCAAGGGACTCCACCCGTGCACGAATTCATGCACCAGGCCTCTAATAAAATAATAAATAGAGAAAGCTGGCTAAATGGAAAAGGGAGAGTCTGCCCTGATTGTGCAAGAGTAAGCAATTCCAGTAAGATCCTGAGCATATAAAATAAAAGAATAAGCCACGTGTGGGCCAGATAGTCCCCCAGTCACACAGAGTGGGCACCAGAAGTCCATGTGGATCACACAGCCCGTCAGGAATTTGAAGAGCTGGAAGATGGCTCCCTGTGGCCAATGTCCTGCACAGATGTCGGTAACATTGTGAAAAGAAGAAGCAAGGCTACACAACTAAAATGAGGTGGCTCCTGGTGAGATGAGGAGAGGCTGGTAACTATGAAAATACAAAATGATTTTAAAAAGCAGGCACTAAATAAAAAAGTGAAAAGGGCTGGTTTGTCCCACAAGCTAGTGGGAAACCTGAGTGGGGACAGATGGTGAAAACTCCATTAACAAAAGTCATGCAAGAACCATCCACATCATTTCAACACAAATTTCCTATTTTTAATGTTGAAAAAAGTGAATCATTTAAATAAACAGGAAAAACATGGAATATATCCATTTTCCACATAATAAATTTGGCTGGGTATAACTGTCAAATATATTATACAAACGCAAAGTAATGCTCATTATTTATTTACTAGAGGCCCAATGCACCATATTTGTGCAAGAGTAGGCCTTCCTTTCCCCGGCTGCCGGCACCGGCTTCCCTCTGGCACCCGGGACCTGGGCTTCCCTCCAGCTGCCAGCAGGCACCTGGGACCCGGGCTTCCCTAGCAGCCCCAGCTTCATCCAGAAGGACATATGATCTAATTAGCATATTACGCTTTTATTATTATAGATTTTCTCTACTTATTCCTTTTTAGTTTTTAAGGTCCAGGTTAAAACTAACCCTATCTAGGATCCTGAAATAATGGCTCTCTCATCTCAGCTATCAAAAAGCATTTAACCTAATTCCTAAAGATTGGGAGTGAATTTCCATAATTCATTCTTTTGAAAACTGGTATATGATTATTCAAATAACATACTGTTTTTTAAAACTGTCTAGTAAATCTTCATTTTAAGTAGTAGTTGAAAAGCAATAAAATGGAACAGAATAGAATAAAGAAATTTCAGAGCTCTATATTTTGCCCCAAAGCTGTAGTATCTCTTTCTTGTTTGGTGCTTCACTTAATAGATAGATAATCCACTGGCAATCAGATTCCCCCTTGGAATCAGCAAAAGGGACAACTATTGAGAATTCCCATTGACTGAAGTTACTGGAAGTATATCACAAAACCTTAAAGATTAAGAATTTAAGCCCAACCACTGTTGCTCAGTGGTTGAGTGTCGATCTATGAACCAGGAGATCCTGTTTCAATTCCCAGTCAAGGCACATGCCTGGGTTGCAGGTTCCTTCTTTCTACTCACTTTGGGCTTTGTTTGCTCTTCTTTTTCTAGTTCCTTTAGGTATTAACTTTAGATTGTTTGAGATTTTTCCTGTTTCTTGAGGCAGGCCTGTATTGCTATAGATTTCCCTCTTAGAAATGCTTTGATTATTCTCATACTTTGGGTCATTGTTTTCATTTTCATTTGTCTCAACGTATCCTGATTCCTCCTTGATCTCATAGTTAACCCATTTATTAATTAGTAGCATGTTGTTTATCTTCCATGTGTTTAATGTTTCCCAGTTTTCTACTTGAATTTCATTTCTAATTTCATACCATTGTGATCACAGAACATACTTGATATGATTTCATCCCCTTACATTTATTGAGTCTTGTTTTGTGGCTTAGCATGTGGTCTAATCTGGAAAATGTCCCATGTGCCCATGTATATTCTGCCTTTTTGGGGTGAAATGTCTAAAAATATCAATTAAATCCACCTGCTATAATGTGTCATTCAATGCCATGGTTTCCTTGTTGATTTTCCGTCTCCCTCTTCTCCCCCACATGTTTTTGTCATTATATTTTACCTCTTTGTGTGTGTGTGTATTCCTTACTATTGTATTTACACATAAATTCATACTTTTGACTTTTTTATTGATTCACTGTTCTTACTATTTGCCTTTGTGAGATTTTTTTCTGTTCTACGTTTTATTTTAATTTTTTCTATTTTTCTACTTAAAGAAGTCCCGTCAAGATTTCATGTACTGCTAATTTAGTAGTGACTGATTCCTTCATCTTCTGTTTGCGTGGGAAAATATCTTTCCTACAATTCTAAAAGATAACCTTGCTGGATAGAATAATCTTGGTTATAAGTTTTATCTTTTATCACTTTTAATAGAACATGTAATTGACCTTTGGGCCTGCAAAGCTTCTGTTGAAAAATCATCTGATGGTCTTACAAGAAATCCCTTGCATGTAAGTTGATGATTTTCGCATGATACTTTTAGTATTCTCTTTGTCTTTAATCTTAGGCATTTTAGTTGTAGGTCTCTTTTGGGTTCATTTTTCTTCCCCCTCACCTAGGATATGTTTTCCATTGCTTTTTCAGAGAGAGTGGAAGAGAGGGAGGGAGATGGGGGGGAGGGGCAGAGAGACAGAGAGTAAAACATCAATGTGAGAGACACATCAACTGGCTGTGTCCTGCTCGCTCACTAACTGGGGGAAGGGAGCGAAGCACAACCCAGGCATGTACTCTTGAGCAAGAATTGAACCCGCAACCCTTAGGTGCGTGGGTGAACGCTCTAACCATTGAGAAACACCAGCCAGGGCTAGGGCTCTTTGGGTTCATCTTATTTAGGACTCTCTACACTTCTTGTACCTGGAAGTGTATTTCCGTCAAGAATTTAGGAAATTTTTCAGTCATTATTTCTTCAAATAGAATTTGAATCTCTGTCTTTATCTCTTCTCTGATTGGGACCGCTAAAATGTAAATGTTGGTGCCATTAATATTGTCCCCACAGGTCCCTTAAACTATCCTCATTATTTAAATTATTTTTTCTTTTTAGCTGTTCTGATTTGGTGTTTTCTGCTACCTTGTCTTCCAAATCGCTAATTCGATTCTCTGCTTCATTTAATCTGCATATTCTTTATTCAGTTTTGTAGCCTTAAACGCTGACTGGTTCTTTATTATATTTTCCAACTCTTTAAGTTCTCCTTGAGTTCTTCTGTTCTTCTCCCATGTTCACTGAGCATATTATAACCAGTGCTTTGAACTCTTTACCTAGTAGATTGTTTGTCTCTGTTTCATTTATATTTTTTTCCTGAAGTTTTGTTCTTTTATAGTTTGGGACCTGTTCCTTTGTCTCCTCATTTTTGCTGACTCTCTGTGTTTGTTTCCATATACTAGATATATCTGTTCCATCTCTTATTCTTGAAAGATTGGCCTTACGTAGCCAGGTGCTAGTGGTGTCTGTGTGGGGGTTATATGTGCCGTCCTGATGTAGTTGGGCCTCAATTGCTGCTGGAATGCCAGTGGGAGGGGCTGGCACTCAGGGAGACTGGCTGTGAGAGTCATATGTGACTTCAGTGGATGAGCTCTTGAGCAGGGGCTGATTCCACAAAGTGGGAGTTGCTTTATGGGGCTCTGGTGCCAGCTGAGACTGTCCAATGGGTGTGTTGTGTCTGGATCCTCTTGAGAGGGGCTTTGGTATGGGTTAGGGTCAGCACAGCTTGTGCCTGGTTTGTGGTCACTTGGTAGGAGCTACAAATTGATCTGCAGTTGGTAGCTGCTTGTGCTGGGCTTGGAAGTGCATGAAAGAGCCAAGTCAGCTATTGCTTGTGCTGGGCTTGTGGCTGCTCAGTTGGATCTAAGATTGGCCAACACTTACTCAAAGTTTGGGGCCACCTAGTGGGAAATACAATGTAAGCTAAAGCCGGTGGCTATTGTGTTGGGGCCACCTGGCACGAGCTACAATGCACATTGATGCTGGCTACCACTTGTGTGAAGTTGTGGACTTCTGAGAGTCTGATGCATGAGCCAAAGCTAGACAACACTCTTGTGAGGTTTGTGGATTTTTGGAGAGTTTGCAATATAAGCTAGGCAGGCTGCTCATGGAAACAGGCAGATGAAAGAGGCCAGGGAGGGCCCAGTGATCAAGGGCTTGGGTTATCCGGGAAATATGGGGTAGGGCAAATGTTAGCCAGGTTCATGGAGAGCACAGATGTAGCGCCCACCTGTGCTGGCCCAGTTGGGTGAGAAAAAGAGTTCAACGAAGGAAATGGCATGCCTACTAGTGTTTCTCTTCCCTGAGAGGGTTACCCTGTTCCCTAACCCTGCAGCCCTCTCTCTGAAGTTATTCAATAGTTCCTCTCCATGTATCTCAGGCACTTTCTGAGCTGCTGCCCCTGTGCTGGAGCTTAGAGCCAGTGAATTTCTGCATGGGCCCTTTAGAAGTGGCATTTCAGTCTCACAGAGCCATTTGCCTCTCAACATCATCTCTGTTGGTGTTCAAAGCCAGATGTATGGGGACTCCTCTGTCCAGCACAGGTGCCCTGGGCTAGGGAGGCTGGTGTGGGGCTGAGACCCCCTTGCTCCTCAGAGGGGCCTACAAAGCCAATCCATTCCTCTCATTTCTTAATTGCCACACTGTGGATGGAAGACCTACTGGTCTGCAATCGGACCCCCACTACCTGTCTTGATGTGGCTTTTTCCTTATATCTTTAGTTATAGGCATTCTGCTCAGCAAAGGTTCAGGTGGTTCGTTCTATCACTGAGTTGTAATTATGATGTGATCTCAGGAGGTGGCAAGTTCAATTGACCTACTCCACTCCAGTTGATGTTGACTCTGCCCTCTACCCATTATTTCTTTCATGCAGCCAAAAGGTCGCACATTAAAGACATACAACATGCAAACACGAAAAGTTCACTCTCGTAATAAACATTACCTTTTCTACATTCTCTGAAGTGGATCCAGAAAGTTCCAAGATTCTTCTAGCCTTGCTTTCCTCAATTTCAGCAAGGCAGCTTGGCTCACTGCTGAGAGCATTAGCTATGATCCGGTAAGTTGTACCCAAGAGAACATTATGGTCACGGAAAGCCAGAATATTTTTGCTTAAGTAGCTTGATGTGTTCTCACCTATTGGATTAAACACACACACACATACAAACTCACACAGGATTTCTTTCAGAAGTAAATGAATACCATAAGGTAAAAAAAAAGTTTATAGTATATAAAAGTTGTTTTCTACTAAGAAATTAACTAAAATAAATCTTGATGTTATAAGAAACTAACTTCACACACTGGTTAGGTAGTCTTGAACTAATATTAATGAAAAATGTTCTTTGTTAGCAGTGACATATCTAAGTACACAGAGGCTAAGCAAATAAAATACTAACTTTTATTCAAGTATCATCATTCTGCATTTTGTCACAGCACCTAATTCTATCTGTTACAAAGAATAAGAAATGGATTTATGCATAGCCATGAATAACCCATAGTTTTTTTGTGTGTGTGTTTTTCCTTTCTTTTTTTAAAATATATTTTTATTGATTTCAGAGAGGAAGGGAGAGGGAGAGATGGAAACATCAATGATGAGAGAGAATCATCTGTTGGCTGCCTCCTGCACGACCCGCACTGGGGATTGAGCCCACAACCCAGGCATGTGCCCTTGACCAGAATCGAATCCAGGACCCTTCACAGGCCAACTCTCTTTCCACTGAGCCAAACCCGGTGGGGAACCCAGAGTTTTTTAATTGATACTGTTACCTGTTGCTGATAAAGCAACAGAGACTAGAGACTGCCACATTTAAAGGTCTGATTCTTCCCGTTTAAAAAAAAAGCTGAAGGAGCTCATCACCATCAAAACAGTATTACAATAAACTGTAAAGGGACCTTTTTAAGAAGAAAATATGAATAAGAAAATATTGCAAAGAAAAAATTCTGACAAAAGCAAATATAATCAAATCAGTGAATCAATGAACACTAAAGCTAGTATAAAGGTTAAAAGGCAAAAGTAGGAAAATCATGAGTAAATACAACTGTAAATTAAGGGATACACACAAACACACGCATAAAAGAAATAGAAAAATGATGACAAAAACATAAACGTGAAGGGGGTAAGTAAAAATAGTAGTGAGTTTATTATGTCTTAAAACTTAAGCAACCATCAACTTAAAATACACTGCCATAAATACAGCTTGGTATATATGAAGTACAAGGTAACCACAAAGCAAAAATGTACAAGAAATATACAGGAAATAAAGAGAAAGAAATCCGAATACAATACTACAGAAAGTTATCAACACATGAGAGAAGAGAATAAGAGAATAAGAAAGGAACAGAGAAGAACTACAGAAACATTAATAAAATGGCTGTAACTTCATACTATTACTACTTATTTTAAATGTAAATGGATTAAATACTCAAATCAAAAGACAAAAGGATAGGAGCTTTCCAAGATGGCTGCAGAGTAGCTGGAAGCTGTGCACACCTGCTCCCAGCCCCAAACCGGATTTACAGTGCAATTACAGAGCAATCAAGTTGGAAAACCAAGTGAGATACGGAACCATGATGGTGGCATAGGTAAACACCTGAAATTGCTGCCTCGCACAACCACTTCAAAAATACAACTAAAAGACAAAACGGACATCATCCAGAACCACAGGAAGGCTGGCTGAGTGGAAATTCTACAACCAGAAGGAAAGAGAAAAGCACACTGAGACTCAGAGGAGGTGCGGAAGTAAAGTGCAGAGATATGGAGGCGCGCGCGGAAAGGGCTGGCAACTGAGGACGCGGCTGACTTTTTGAACCAGGAGGGAGACACAAGCTCCCGACTGCTCTGAACTCCAGTTCTGGGCGAGTCTCTGGAGACCCAGACTCATACGGGGAGAAACTGGACTGTCTAGCATTGGTCGGAACTCGAGGGTGGCTTTCTCTCAGAGGTACTTGCAGTGATTACCGCGGGACAGAGACTCGGGGCCTCTTAGGGCAGGGCTGAGGATCAGCCATAGCTGCTTTCTCTGCCCTGTTGATTCCCTGAGACCCCGCCCCACCCAAGCTGCGTGCAGAGGCTTTTGCATATGAATGCCCTGGCCCTTTGCAATATAAAATTACCTAACAAACTGCAGCTGGGTCACAGAGACCCAGAACATCCAAAAGAAGGCCCAACCTGAACCTGCAGTGAGACCACCTAGTGGGCAGCTAGAGTTGGAGTCTCCGGCAGAGACGGAGGGATTTGGCTTTGAAGCCAGGACTACTTTCCCTTCATTGCTTGCCTGACTGCGTGATCCCCAAGTAGGGAACCCACTAGGCCCATCTCAGCTAACCTGGGTTCATCCTAGTCTCTCTTTAGAAGGCGGGGGAGGAAGACCAGGAACCTCAAGGGAAAGGCGGAGAAGCCGACAGGCAGGCAGACCTCAGGGAACCTGGGTCTTATCACAGATTTGCTCCCAGCTCGAAGCTGGAAGAAGCCGACCCTTTTACAGATTAGCCCCTCTCACGTACACACAGGTCCAGTCAACACCGACACACACAGTGGACAGCACTGTAGCTTCGGAGAGGTAGCCCAAGGCTGGTCACACACAATGTCTGACAGCAGCCTGCACCTGAACCCCACCCAAATGGACCCAGAACCAACACAACCAGTAACGAGCTTCAGACCACACTAGAGCTCAACCAAACTAGCTACACAAGCAGCACACCCAAGGGTGGATCCTGGCAGGCACCAGGCCATGCTGGGAGCAACCCCTGCTCAGGGAATAGCCCCCGCACAGTAAATGGTAACCACCTGTAGTCACCGAGCCTGAAGGGTTAACTCCACCCACAAAAGGGCCAACAGCAATCAAGCCTCAACTACCACAAGGGGGTGGGGGGGGGGGAGTGACACACACATACTTCACAAGAGACTTTCCTGGAGCATGGAGCTCAGACGATCTGGAAGACTGTGCCACAGCCCAACAAGAACCTCAGACTGCACCTATACAGCAGCTTGCACACCATGGTCGGGATGGAGCCTCACAGCCAGCCAGCCTGAGGCGAGATCCCACCCACAAATGGGCCAACGGCAATCAAGACTCAATTACAAAAGGAGGGCCCACATACCCCACACAAGAGACCTTCCTAGAGCATCCAGCTCAGGCGATCAAGGAGCTGCTCCACTGGGTCCCATAGGACACACTCCATAGGCAACCCCATGAACACTGGGAGTCACAGCAGTTCTATCTAATAAATAGTAACAAACACAAAGAGACAGCCAAAATGGGGCACAAAGAAACAGGTCCCAAATGAAAACACAGAGGAATCTCCAGAAAAAGAGCTAAATTAAATGGAGACAAGTAAAATATCAGATATATAATTCAAAGTAATGGTTATAAAGATGCTCAAGGAACTTAGTAAGAGCTACAATAGCATGAAAAAAACATAAACTCATGAAAAATAACAGTCGGAAATCAAGAGTGCCATATCTGGCATCAAATACACTGGAAGGAATGAAAGTAGGTTAGATAAAGCAGAGGATTGAATCAGTGATTTGAGCGACAAGGGAGAATAAAACACAAACCAGAGCAGCAAAAGGAAAAAAGAATAAAAAAGAATAAGGATAGCCCTAGCCAGCTTGGCTCAGTGGATAGAGCGTCAGCCAGCAGACTAAAGGGTCCTGGGTTCGATTCTGACCAAGGGCACATGCCCGGGTTGCAAGCCAATCAATGCTCCCCTATAGGGAGTGTGCAGGAGGCAGCCAATCAATGATTCTCTCTCATCATCAATGTTTCTACGTATCTCTCTCTCCCTCTCCCTTCTCTGAAATCAATAAAAATACATTACAAAAAAAGAATAAGGATAGTTTGAAAGAACTTTGGGACAATATGAAAACCTAACAATAGCTGCATCATAGAGGTACTGAGGAGAAGAGAGTTGGGTTAACTGGATGAAGGAAGGTGAAGAGATTAGTCAAAGAAGGTACCTGCATCGCCTATGGACACAGACAACAGTGTGGTGAAGGCGTGAGGGGCGGGGCACGAGGGCTGGGTGGAGGTGGGGGGGATATCTCTAACAGTGTCAACAATAAAAATAAAGAAAAAAAAGACAACATGATAAAGACGATGTGGTACATATATACCATGATTATTCAGCTGTGAAAAATAATGAAATCATACCATTTGCAACAGCAGAGATGAACCTAGAGGATAGTGTGCTAAGTGAAGTCAGACAAAGACAAATACTATATGATTTCACATATATGTGGAATCTGAAGAACAAAATAAACGAACTAAGAAAACAAAAACAAACTCATAAATAATAAAACAAACTGATGCTTGCCCGATGGAAGGAGGGCTGAGGCTAACTGAAAAAATGAAGGAATTAAGAAGTACAAAGTGGCAGTTACAAAACAGCTATGGAGATATAAGGTATAGAGAATATAGTTAATAATATTATAATAACTATATATGGTGCCAGATGGTGCAAGATTCACCAAGGGAATCGCTTTGTAAATTATTTAACTATCTCACCACTATACTGTACACCTGAAACTAGTATAACATTGAAAGTCAACTGTAGTTAAAAAAATTTTTAAAGTAAAGGTCTGGTTTTTCATGTTACTGTGTGGCTCTAGGAAAGATGATCCAGCCTTGAATAATCTTGCAGCGATGTGGAAGGTGGTGTGAGAGATGTGAGAAGGCGGTGTGAAAGAGAAAGGGTGCTCTCTCAGCAAAGGCCATCAACCACACCACCTGCTCATCCATGGGATGACCATCCTCTGACTGATTCGTCTCACATACACGACCATAACCACTGGCTCTGCTTATTTCACAAGGCTCATTCAAAGTCAGCCAAACCATAACTACTAAATCAGTAAAATTATTTTTATAAGTACCAACTTTTATCTTCATATCAGCACACTCCTCCTATCCCTCCATCCCCCTCAAAGAAAAAACAACAACCCACTAAATATTTAAACCATTGTAAGGATGATTTTATGATCCTGGGACCAATATAGAAAGACTGTTTTTCTTGTCTGCAAATTTACTGAGGCAGATACTCTGATATGATACCCTGTCCTGCTGAAGAGTCAAATTTGGAAATATAATTGGGAGCATGTTCCATAATGGTGCTCCTATGTACCTTTGGATATATGGTAACAGAGCTAGCATACCAGGTCCAAAAATAATTAAGAGAAAGTTTTTCTCCCCTGAGTCTTAACAGGTATATTGTTATGAAAAGAGAAGATCTGAAGAAGAAAAAAGCTTTTTAATGTCTTATTTTACAAAGTAATTCTTATATGTAAACATTAAGATTCATAATTTAACTAAATATGAAAGAGGCTTTTACTTTCAATTCCATTTTATAGCTACAGAAATAAAAGCTCCAAATGTCGTATGCACTAGCAATACTCAACTATAAAGTGCCTTGGCTCCAAATATTTAATAAAATTATAAATACTTACTTGCCAATGTCAGACAAATCTACACAAATAATAGTTTTAGAAGACTACAGAGATGTAATATAGAATAGCATTCTTAAACTTGTATAGATAGAGCAGTTTCATACCCAACAAAGAGACTGTTTTCAACACGGAAAGAATCTGCTCCGGACGATTCTGGGTCTGGCTCTGGCTGTGTCTGAGCCGACAGTAGCTATGCACCCATCTCACCAGCCACTCATCTCTTGTTTTTGATTCTTTATGCAGGTCCTTCAATAGTTTCAAGGCAAGTGAGAAATTGTTCTATATAATAGAAGAGAGAAAGGAGTACAATGACAGAAATGTAAATTTAGAAATAAAAGCATTTTACAAAAGAAGTTTTTTGTTAATTGGCCTGGTTTCCTTTATGTATGACAATTCACCTTAGAGCAGCTAATCCATCTCCTTAGCTTACATTAAATGTCTTTTTATTTATCACGTGGATATAATTCACATTTACAGTATGCAATTCAGTGTCTTTTAATATATTCAAAAGCTGGGCAATCATCACCACTGTCTCATTCAAAACATGTTCATCAACCCCAAAGAAACCTTTGATGTCAGAGGAATCGTGGCACGAGAGGTCCCCTTGATCTCTCCCTTGAAGTTACAACAATTTGAACAGTTACAAGTTTAAGAATGAATATGCTGCTCAACACAGAAACACGTATGAGAGATCCGCGTATTGAAACACTGTAAGGTGAGTGGGAAGGGAGCACTGCTGAGAGGGTGCCAGGGAGGCAGCCGGGAGGTCACTGCTGGTCTCAGCCGGGGAAGAATCAGGTTGCCACTGGCACTCCCTTCAGCCAGGACCGGGAGAGGGATGCAGTGAGCATTCCTGTGGGAGTGGTTGCTATGCATTGCAGCTAAACCCAGTGTCCTGGGCAGGGATGAAGGACCAAGGTGCAGCCACAGCTGTCTGGCAACTGCCAATGCCAAACTGAAAAACAAAGCCACCAAGCCTGGCATCTTTTATCCTAGAAAGAATTCCTCCTGACCTCCCTTGCTTCTTGTCATGGCTTCTTTAGGAGCAGCCTGTGCTCACTGTCTATGTTCTCTCCTCCAGCTTTTACCCAGTCCACCATCCACTATAATCTGACTTCTGTTACTCCAGTGAACTAGTTCTCACCAAACTCAGCAGCAACCTCCTTATGTTACATGCAAGGGCACTTTTCAATCTTGAAAACCTTCACTCTCTTTGGTAACTGACACTGGTAATTTCTGGTTCTTTCCCTGTGGTCTCACAGTGCCTTTGTAGGCTCCTCCTCCTGTGTTCACCCCAAAACTGTTGGTCTGTTTTGGGGACTGATCCTGGTTATCTTATCTACTTCCATGGTTTCAATGACTATCCACATGCTAATCGCATTGAGACCTCTATCGCTAGCATTACTCTTTTTCTCCAGAGCTTCAAATTTCTTATGTACAACTTAGTGAAGGGAAATTACAACTTGTCTTCAAGACCTTGCAAATTCAACATGTCTCAAACTGAAGATATCATCTGCCCCAAAAACTACTCTTCCTTCTATATTCCCATCCACCCAGATTCTCAGGTTAAAAACCTGGATATCATCCTTCCTCCTCACAAACACAACTAGTCATCATGTCTCATTTGAGCAAACCCTCTCAATTTTCTTAAATCTGCCCACTCACCTCCATTTCCATGACCTCTAACCTAGATATGGCCACCATCATCTCTCACATGGATTAATATAAAAGCTTGCTAATACTTTGCCCTTTCATAGATCATTTCTTCTCACTACATCCAAAATGCATTTTAAAATTGCACATCTGATCACCCTGATCGCAGAGCTTTCTTGCACAAAGTTGCACAGCCTTTAGTAGGCGCTGAAATTTAACCTCTGCTCCACTCAGGGTCACTCCTGGGTCTTATGTGTTATTCCTGCTACCCTATTTCATCCTTGAGTTCCCAACTTAGACATCACCTTCTACTCGAAGCTTCCTTTGTTTCCATAAGACTGTCAGGTGTCCTTCCCATGAGGTTTTTAATATTATGTATTATAATTGTTTGTCCATTTGTCTCTATTTTGTTCAACATGGTATCTCTAGCACCTAATGAAATGCTTGGTAATAAAAAAAAAAGGCAAAACTCAAATTTCACTTCTGCTACTTTTGACATTTTGAAGAATATGAGAAGGTAAATTAAAATAAACTGAAGGTTTTATATCATCTGATGACTTAAATTGTTCCTTTTCTCTCCATCTCCAACATTACTGGTATTGATAACTAACTCTATTTACCCCATTTTTTATGTGTGAATATTGCAGAAAAATTCTGAAAAGCCAACGTGCCACATGAAAGATATTTGGGTATTTTTGGTGGTTTTCACATATTTCCAACTAATATATTTATGATCCGTTTCTTTCCTCCTCTTTTCTCGTCATGCTCCCCCCTCTCCCCCGAGGTGGGGAACTCTGAGCAGCAGTGCAGCAGTGGAGAGCATTCTTTGTCTCTCCATCTGGGATGAACACCCTGACTTCCCACTAAGAAGCTACACGCACCCCTCCTCAGCCATGGGTCATGGATGGCCTCTCCTGCTGGTAATCGAGCTAAAGTAGTGGGAGACAATGGCTGGTGCTTTCTGGGGAAAAAAACCAAACATGCTTTTTTTGTTTGGTTTCATTTTTGCCAAGAAATAAGAGAAAAACCATTTCCGGGAAGATGTGGTATGGAAGAAGTAAGGTATAAAACATTCACAGCTATTTCCAACCACAAAGGGTGACCTGGAGCTGCCAGAGTGCTGCTATGTAGAGTCTGAGCACTGAACCACTATGGTGGAAGGGAGAACCCACGGAGAGAAAGCAGGTCCCAGTCTTTGAAAGCTAGCTCTTCTAGACTTTTCATTTATGGGTACTAACAACTTTCCTTTATCCACTTGGGCTGCTTTGGGTTGGGTTTTCTGTTATTTGTAATATAAAGATTCCTAAATGATATAACATCTATCTCAGAGAAAAATCTATATGTGAACACAAACTTACAAAACAGAAATATTTATTACTTCTACTAGAAGTAGAAAGCAACATTCTTTGTTTTATAATAGCAATCAATTTAGGGTTATTAAAAAAAACAAGCTCTCCCAGTCTGTTCAAATATAATTTGATACACTTAAATAGTTTATGTGCAACTTTTAAGTAAAGCATGATTATATGTTAATAAAGGGTCGAATTATCAAATGATAGAATTCTACAAACTAAATCTAAATATAATTTGTAACTAACTGGCAAGCATTCATTTTGCTAAAGCTCAAACCTGATATTAAGCTTATTTCCTTTTTCAATAACAGAAAATAATTATTTTGGTTGTTTTTTTAATCCTCACCCGAGGATATTTTTCCATTTATTTTTAGAGAGTGGAAGAGAGAGGGAAAGATAGAGAGATATATCGATGTGAGAGAAACACATCAATTGTTTGCCTCATGCACGCACCATGACCAGGGCCCAGGAGGAGCCTGCAACCGAGGTACATAAATCTGAGTACCTACCTGCTTCCTTGCGCTCTCTATCATCTTCATTTTCATGGAAAACTTACAGCTCTTGACCAGAGAGCAAATGTCTTCTTCCTGCTCCCGCCCTTCCATCCTGTCACAGGAATCTGCATCCCCATCTATGTCCATACTGTGATCATCTGGAAGAGTAAGTTCTCCTCTATTTTGCTGAGAAAGAAACATCTACACAAAACAAAGAAAAATGAGAATTTACGCCTCATGAAAGAAATCTTTGACATATAGGACACACTACTGGATAGCATTTACAGACAAAAATTTTATATTTATTAAAATTTTGCTCATTTTCTGGATTGTATATGTACACTCTAGGTACTGGGATTTAATCTCCATCTTTATTGACTCTTTAAACATCACCAAGGATATTTCACAGAATTTTCCAGATATCATTCATCGTCTCCACCTCCACAAAAATAAAGCATTTAAACTCACAATTTTCTCTCTTAAAGGACAATATGCTAGTACCCTGTGTTGAGCCAAAAGTCATTTTTCTCCTTATATCTCCCAATCTAAACTTCTACTCTCAAAGGTGAAAAATATAAAGCAGCAAACAGGTTATAGTCACTGAAAATATTAAAAGATAACACTGTATTGCTATAAAATTATTTTTATTTGTACCAACTAAATGCAGTATATAACTCTGGACTGGTTTCTGTCTTAGAAGGGGAGAAAATGCTTTAAAAGGCTTTAATGTGACAATTGACAAAACTGAAATAATAAAAACTGTAAAGTTATTCTTGCACTGTGATTACTCTTTGAAAGAATACTTTTTGTAGGAAATGTACACTGGTAAGTAAAGAGGTAAGGGTTCTTATGTATACAACTTACCCTCAAATGGTTCAGAAAATAAATGTGTATGTGGAGAGAGAATTAAAAAGCTAATGTGGCAACATGTTAAAAAACAGTGAATCTGGGTAAAAGGTACACAGAAGAGTTTTATTTTTCTTGCAACCATTCAATAGATAAGAACTTATCCCAAAATAAAAAGTAAAAGAAGTATACAAAATTAAAAGTATAAAAAGTAAATTAAAATATAATGGCAAGACTATCACATGAGGGGTCAGGGTCCTTGAATCCTACTGACTGTATATATTTGCGCAAAATAATTTACAACCTCTCTGGATCTATTACCTCCTCTCTTAAATATATGATTAATAACTGCCTTCTGGATTACCCAGGGTTGTTAAGGTTGAGGAAAAGAAAATGATCTCAGGCCTGGGAAGGTGATATTGAGATATATATATGTATATATATGTATATACACACACACATGAATGTATGTGTGTATGTGTGTGTGTGTGTGTGTGTATATATCATATCCTATATAATAAAAGGGTAATATGTAAATCGACCGGTTGCTATGACGCACACTGACCACCAGGGGGCAGACGCTCAACGCAGGAGCTGCCCCCTGGTGGTCAATGTGCTCCCACAGTGGGAACGCTGCTCAGCCACAAGCTGGGCTGACGGCTGGTGAGCGCAGCGGTGGTGGCAGGAGCCTCTCCTGCCTCCACAGCAGCACTAAGAAAATCCGACTGAGGAAGTTCCTCCGCCCTCTCCCCAACCCCCTCCCCCCCCCCCCCCGGCTCCCAGCCGGGATTGGGCCTAAACCCCCAGGTGGACATCCCACTCACCCTAGACTGAAGATCCTGCTAGTTCGGGATTTGCGTGCGTCCAGATTGAATAAGTGTTTGTGTGTTGCTTGAACTTTAACATCGGCGCACGCACGACCTAAAGGTGGCCCCTCTGTGAATTACGCTTCGACCTAAATCAAAGCTGTAACAGAACCCCGCGTCAGTTACAAAAGACATACGACAGTCGTTGTTAGTTTATTCTTCTTCCTCATCTACCCCTTTTTAGTTTTATATCTTTATTTTTTT